TGACCTGTTCGACATATTCCAATCAATCAATCAAGTCGGGGGCGGTGGGTGGAGACATCGGAATCAATCAATCAATCAATCAATCAATCAATCGATCAATCAATCAATCAATCAATCAATCAACCAACCAACCAATCAATCAATCAATTGGTTAATTGATTGATTGATTGTTGAGGTGATGGTTGTTGCTCGAGATAGAGGTCTGTTTGGGATCGCACCAATCAATCCTCTCTCTCTCTCTCTCTCTCTCTCTCTCTCTCTCTCTCTCTCTCCCTTCAATCAATCAATCAATCAAGTCGGGTCGGGTCGGCTCCTGTCCCGACGCGTTCGAGATTGCACCAACTTTTTTTTTTTTTTCAAACAATCAATCAATCAATCAATCAACCAAAGTTGATTGATTGATTGAAACAAAAACCACAAACAAAAAACAAAGAAACTGGGTCTGGCCGGCTCTCGTCCTGACCTGTTCGACATATTCCAATCAATCAATCAAGGGGGGAAAGCGCAAGCAAGGGGGGAAGCGGAGCGGGGGGAAAGCGCAAGCAAGGGGGGAGTCGGGGGAAGCGGAAGCGGGGGAAGCACAGGCGGAAGCGGAGAGTGGAAGCGGAAGCGGCGAGAAGTGGAGCCCGAAGCGGAGAGCAGTGGAGCCTGAAGCGGAGAGCAGCGAACCCCGAAGCGGAAGCGGGGAGAAGCGGGGAGAAGCGGGAAGAAGTGGGGAGAAGCGGGGGGAATCGGAAGTGGGGAGAAGTGGAAGCGGGCCGGGAGGGGGAGGTGGCCAACTTCCCACGTGGCAATCTTGCCACGTGCCGATCTTGTCACGTGGGAGGGGGAGATGGCGAGCTTGCCGCGTGGCGAACTTGCCACGTGGCGAACTTGCCATGTGGTGGGAAGCGGAAGCCAAGGCGGAAGCGGAAGCGGAAAAAGAACCGCAGGGGAGAGGAAACTTGCCATGTGGCGGTCTTGCCTTGACTGATTGATTGATTGGTTGATTGATTCATTGATTGATTGCTCTCGTCGGCATGAGCATCAATTTGTCCCGTCGGGTCGGGTCGGATTGGCATTGCAGTTAGTCGAGTCCCCTTGTGATTGAGGTCGCGTCCACATTGCGGCCGACTCGGGAATCAATCAATCAATCAATCATTCATTCAATCAATCAATCAATAAATAAAGTTTGCATTCACTATGGTTGCGTTTCGCGGGGAGGTGAGGTCGCAAAACATATGGGTTATCTCCCTCCTCTATCAGATCAATCAACATAACTATGGCGCATGGCGCCCAACAATCCCTCCCGACCAAGAAGAAGAACTAAAGGAAGAAAAAAACAAACACGAAGAAGAAGATGAAGAAGAAGATGAAGACGACCAAGAAGACGAAGAAGAAGATGAAGAAGAAGATGAAGACGACGAAGAAGACGAAGAAGAAGACGAAGAAGAAGACGAAGAAGAAGAAGAAAACAAAAAAAATAAAAAAAATTCACCAAGACGAAGAATAAGACGAAGTAGAAGAAGTAGACGAAGAAGAACAACAACAAAAAGAAGAAGAAGGACAACCTGAGTTAAAGAAGAGGGAAGAGGAATCTACCAGCAGAGAAACAAAAGAGAGAGAAAGAAGGAGAGAGAGAGAGAGAGAGAGAGAGAGAGAGAGAGAGAGAGAGAGAGAGAGAGAGAG